GAAGAGATCAGATTGTGAAGGGCTTTAAATGCCAAACAGAGTATTTAACATTTGGTATCGGAGGCAATATGGAGCTACTGGGACTTGCTGAACAAGGGGTGATATGTCAGACTTTAGTTAAATCACTTTGGTAGCAGAAAGGAGGATGGACTGAAGTGGGGAGAAACTTGAGGCAAGGAGTTCACTGAAAAGGTTATTGTAATAGCCAAGGTGAGATTTCCATAAAACCTGTACTAGAGTAGTGACTATGTGACTGGAGAAAAAGGGAAATACTAGGGTGATGATGTAGATGAGAAAAGACAAGGGTTGGCAACAGACTGGATACGGTGGGGTGAACCTGGGTGAGGAGTCGAGGGCAACACTAAAGTTGCAAGATTGGCTGACTCCAGGGTGTTGCCCCAGAGACTAAGAGGAAAGTTGGGAAGAGGAAGGATTCGGGGGAAAAGATAATGAGATATGCTTAGGGCATATTAAATTTGAGATGCCTACAGGATATCCAGTTTGAGATGTGCAAAAGGCAGCTGGTGATAGAGGAGTTGTGCTCAGGAGACAGATGATGACGAGATATAGAGATCTGGAAATCAATTTCATAGAGATGATAATTGAACCTATGGGAGATGATGAATTCATGAAGTGAGATAGTACTGAGGGAAGAATATGCCAGGTATCTGAGATACAAATACAAAAAAGAAACAAAAAAATCTGTACTCTCAAGGACAAAGGGTGTCCCTATTACTAACCCTATATATATGTGTGTGTGTATATATTTACTTTGGCATTTTGATGGATCTGTAATTTCATCTGTGTGGATGCTTCCTACCTCAATGAAGATCATATTATCTCACGCAATGGGATTCTTGCCCGTGTTTTCCTACAGACGATCTACCCAATGCAGCAGAGGCCTCCTTCTTGTTCTTTTAGTATCACTTTTTAGTATCACTAAATAGTACACTTTTTTAGTATCACTTTTTAGTATCACTAAATAGTACATTTAGTACAAATATACCATATCTAGGCTACTTATCTACTTAGTCTCATTTTGATTATATAATTCTATGCCAGTTATACATTTCCTTGATACTGAGTCAGTATGGTATAGTGGAAAGAACATCTGAATGTGGATAGCATTTTCCATCACGAGCCCTCTGGAGATGTCTTAGATCCTTGTATGGCTAGAAAGGGTTAAGTTTATCAATATTAGTCATTGCACAATGTGGCTGTTATTGTGTACAATGTTCTCTTCGTTCTGCTCACTTCACTCAGCATCAGACCATACAAGTCTTTCCAGGTTTTTCTGAAGTTTGCTTGCTCATCTTTTCTTACAGCACAATAGTATTCCATTACATTCATATACCACAACTTGCTCAGCCATTTCCCAACTGATGGGCATCCTCTCAATTTCCAATTCTTTGCCACCATAAAAAGAGCTGCTATGGATATTTTTGTATATGTGGGTCCTTTTCCCATTTGTATGATCTCTTTGGGATATAGCCCTAGAAGTGCTATTGCTGAATCAAAGGGTATGCACATTTTGATAGCTCTTTGGGCATAGTTCCAAATTGCTCTCCAAAATGGCTGGATCATTTAACAACTCCACCAACAATGTATTAGTGTTCCAATTTTCCCACATCTTCTCCAACATTTATCATTTACTTGTTTTGTCATCTTGGTTAATCTGATAGGTGTGATGTGGTACCTCAGAGTTGTTTTGATTTGTATTTCTCTAATCAATAGTGATTTAGAGCATTTTTTCATATGACTATAGATGGCTTTAATTTCTTCATCTGAGAACTGCCTGTTCATATTCTTTGACCATTTATCAATTGGGGAATGACTTGTATTCTTATAAGTTTGACTTAATTCTCTATATATTTTAGAAATGAGGCCCTTATCAGAGACACTGGTTGTAAATTTTTTCCCCCAATTTTCTACCTTCCTTCTAATTTTAGTTGCATAGGCTTTATTTGTGCAAAAACTTTTCAATTTAATATAATCAAAGTTATCCATTTTGCTTTTTGTAATGTTCTCTATCTCCTGTTTGGTCATGAATTCTTCTGTTCTTCATAGATCTGATAGGTAAACTATTCCTTGCTCTCCCAGTTTGCTTATAGTATCAGCCTTTATATTTAAATCATGAACCCATTTTGACTTTATTTTGGTATATGGTGTGAGATTTTAGTCTACGCCTAGTTTCTGCCATATTCTTTGGAAAGAACATCTGGAACCAGAACACTTGTGCTAAATACTGGCTCTGCTATTTTTGTTTTACGCTTATGATCTTGGGCAGGTTACTTAATCAATCGATATGTAAGTAACTACTATGTGCAAGGCACTGTGCTAAGTCCTGGGGATATAAAAAGAGGCAAAAGATAGTCCCTGACCTCAAGGAGCTTGCAATCTAATGGAGAGACAACACGCAAACAAATATACAAAGCAAGCTATACACAGGAGAAATAGGAAATAATTGAAAGAGGGAAGGTACTAGAATGAAGAGAGGTTGGGAAAAACTTCCTGTAAAAGATGGAACTTTAGTTGGGACTTAGTGGAAGCCAGGGAAGTCAGTAGGCAGTTGAGAAGGGAGAGCATTCTAGGCATGGTGAACCTCAGTTTCCTCTTCAATAAAATGAGGGAATTATACTGGATTATCTTTGAGGTCTCTATGATTAAAGCACAGAGTCGAAGCTGGACAGGATGTTTGAAGACATCTAGCTCGACTCTTCATTTTACAAGTCAGGAAACTGAGGTTAAAGAAGGTAGGCAACCTGTTCAAGGGCATACAGGTAGTGTCAGAGCCCAGTTCCTCTACTTCTAAATCTAGTCCTCTTTCCACCATATCAGAGACTATGACCCATGCTTTTACATCATGTCTTACATACAAGTTATCCTTGGCAATAGAGCACAATCTAGATGTCTCGAACACAAATGTCATCATGTTCGGATTATTTGTAATCTGAATTCTTCTGAGACTGCGTCATTCAATGATCTACAACCCTAACGCATCAAAGGGAAAATACTAGCTTTAAAGACATGGACTTTTGCAGCAGCATTCTCTACTGGGTTCACTGAAAGCACAGTACAATCTCTCCACATTATCCAGGCCTGCTTGAGAGGCAGATATAGTGGTGTGGCAGATATTAAGAGGACCTTTAAGCCAGAAAGACCTAGTTTCAAGTCCTATCTCTGACACCTCCAAGCTTTAGGATCCTGGTTAAATCACTTAAATTCCCAGTAACTGTACTCAACTTTCTAAGATTTTAAATTGTGGAGAAGGCGCCAATCTGCTTTGGCAGAGGGAATTTCTTTACCTGCATCCCTTTACCAGTGAAATCACAGGTTCAGTCCTTATCTCTACCCAGTCCTCTCTCCTTCTCCTTAATTCCAGGCACCAGAAATGACTACCTGTCACTTCATTAGCTATCTGCCTTAATGAGATGACTGTCCAGATGCATATCATGATCTGGGTGATGTATTTTTCATCCACTTTCTTATTTTTTTTTTAAAGCAAATATGGCTTGACAGATCTGCTGCTTTGCTATAAATTTCAGCAAGGAGTCTTCAGACTTGATGTAAGCAGTGCAGTGTCATCTGAGGACAAGAGGATTTGAAGCACCTCATCATCCATAGAAGAACTGTCTTTTGTTCGGACTTTGTGCAGGATCCATTTCATGACACTGTTGAACAACCCTGGTGAAAATATCTCTCCATAAAACACTTCATTTTATAAAATCATAAAGACTTTGACAGCATAGTACAAGCTTTGGCAGGTTCTACTAACCTTGAAAATAGACTGTCATCCAAGGATCAGCTTATTTAAATTCAGAGAAGCTCACCACCAGAAGGCTGACCACCACATGCTACGATGTTCTTGCCCACAGCAACAAGGCACAGAATAAAGAATGCTGGATATTGAGTCAAAGGACCTGGGTTCAAATCCTCATTCTGCTAGTTACTATCCATGTGTCCATGACCAAGTCACTTAACCTATGTGGTCCTCAGTTTCCATTTCTGTAAAATGGAGGAGTTGGACCAGATGGCTCTGAAGGTCTCTTCTATATTTAAATCTGTAATCCTATGAAGATCATCTCCTAAAGCAGACAATATGCAGGGAATACTCATGGCAATAAAATCATGTATTGTGGAAGAACAGAAATATTAGAATTTTACATCTAGATGTATTATCATTTATAAGGGCAGGTAAGTTTATAGTCATTTAGAAATATATTGCCAGCTCTTGCTCTATTTCCAACCAAAATATAAAATTTAAAAACATTAGTATGTAATATTAACATAACACAATTAGAGCAAGCAACATTATACATTCTGGATTGTTTTTTTTTTTTTTCAGCTGCCATAAAGAATCCTTCAACGATTTTAAGCCACAGAATCTAACAATGTCTTAGATAAGAGGAAAAGATATTGTATACCTCAGTTGTGGGTACAACAAAGTAGTTAGTGGGAGCATTAGGGGATAATATTTAAGGGCCTTTCCAGCTCCAAAATACTATGATTTCTATCCTCCCCCTTCCACCTCCATCTCTTTTCTTTTAGAATGCCTCAGAGCTCACTCAGGGTCCTAGTTTGTTTTAAAATAACTCAATGAGTTGACAGACGGAGCTCCTGGAATTCTGCAGCCTGTGCTAGAGTCTACAGATGGGAAATTGCAGTCAGTTAAAGGGTGGTGCTATTACCATAGCACAATTTTTGAAAGCCTTTGGAAAAAAAAAACTGAATTAATTAGCATTCACCACAGGCACTAACCTTGTGTTGCAGTACTCCGGGACTTAGATAATAAGAGAATGCAGAATTATAATTTTCTGACTTTTAAATGACAACGTTTCGATTCATTAAAAATCTAGGTTTCTATGAAGAAGAAATTGTACCTGCTCCTTGACAATGCTCTCATACAATGGAATGACAGTGTTTTAAGCCATCATGAAACATATATTGAAAGAAGTCAAACACTACTAGCATCACTCTATATAGAATTAATTTTAGGTTACCTCTCTGATCTGCTTAATCCACATTTCTCTTCCAAGAAACTCCTGATGTAAGACTACAGGAGCTGAATTTAAATTAAATGCTATGGAGCCACCACACTTCCCTCTAATAAAAGGCTGGAGGTCAGAGTTTATCTGGAGAGAATGCACAAAAAGAGTTATGTTAGAACACTGTAACCTGAAACAGTTATAACTAGTATATTTTAGTGATGAGAGGAGACATTACTGTAACTGAAAAAGAATAAAGGACTTTTTAGATGAAAATGTTTTGTAGATGAATATTTTTAAATATACTAACCTTCAAATTCATCTGAAGCTATTTTTTCCCTCTTTATAACTCCCCTCTAGTTTTTATTTATTTTTAAAATTAGAGGCAAGGACTTGGTAAACATGTTTTCTTGATAAAATTCTACGTATTTTATAAATATTCTCCTCAAATCTGTTTGGTTTTATTGCAAGAGAAAAAAGTCACCCCTATCCCCCAAGAAAACTATATTCTCCAGTGAAATGCTTGAGTAGCATCTGTGAGATATATACTATTAAATATATTTGGAAATTACAGATATAAAAAAATGAACTTTGCAATTGCTAATCTCAGGGTGTTTGCTTTATTTTGCACATTAAAAAGTAGCAATTAGAACTAAAGCGTTTTCATTTTTCTCAATACACCACTAAACTTTCATTAACTTCTCTCAATTTCTAATTTTCAAGCAGCCATAAAGGAATAATAACAAAAACTTCCATCTTCTTGTGAATGTCCTTCCAATTTTGTGAATGGCAGCATTACTCATTATTTCATAATTTCCAGTAGTTCTGTCAGGAGCCACTTAAGGTAGTAGGAAAAGAAAGACATTCCAAATACAGTGTAAATAAATGGTGGGTTTTTTTTTTTATGAAAAGTACATCCTATCATGCTTTACTGTCTATATTATATAACAGACAATGATTAAATGATTGATGAATCTTAAGTACATGCTTAACATTTTTGAGACCTAAAAGGTCATTAAGTACTAAAAAGGTTTCCCATATGTCATTTTAGTTATTTGAACACTGGATAAAGAGAAAGGGTGTGCCAGTACCTTATGACTCATAGACATGTGCTTTCCATACTGAAATGCCATATCCTGGACCTCAGTATCATGCTTTGCTAATTCCATTGCAGCTTGGCAGCTTTTTGCTAGCAAGGCACTATGGGAGAGGAAAATCTGCTCCTTCCAAGTCGATATTCCGATATCATCTGTGATACAGTTTTCCTGAAAATGCAACAAAAGCCAAGATGAAAAAGCTTTAAAAATGTTTTTTTTTTTTTAAGTGGCTCAACTGTTTCAGTTCTTGAAGAATGATAGGACTAAGCAACAAACACTACGATCTATTTCTCACTTGCAGGTGATGAAAGACAAAAGGACAAGGGAATGATGAAAAAAAATCCTCTGGTCCTTCAGTATATGAAGCACAGATCATTTCATACAAATACACCACGGCCAGTTACTATATTAAGACACAGTAAAGGGGGTGTATATATAAGGGGCGATTGTGTGCTTTCGGGTAATCTATGGATACCTGATTTCATCTTTAAACTATAAAAACCATAAAGTTCAACATAAAGCAAACTGAAAAAGGACCATTATTTGAAGTTCAATCCTATACCACAAACTCACGTTAAAACTCTGCCCAACCAGAACCCTCAATAATTATTATTTTAAAAAAATACTAATTTCCACTTTGAAGGGAAGGAGCAAATAAGAAAATAAGCTTATACCAGGGATGTAACCCACTTCTCCTTTAAAAAAAAAAAAAGTCCTTTCTTGGAGGAATAGAAAGATTACTGGATTTAAAGTCACAAAGACCTGGATTCAAGAGCTCATCCTATCACTTATGGGGTCTGTGGTTTTAGGCAAAGCACTTAATATCTGTGAGCCTCAGTTTCTTCAGCTATAAAATATGGAAGTCAGATGAAAGGATGTCTAAGGTCACTTGTAGTTCTAGCATTCTGAGGCTATGATTTTATATTCTGGGCCTTAGCATATAATTCAGTTCAATCTTTTACAAACGGTGGAGAACTGTTAATTTAGGGTTGAGCTCTGGTGGTAAATTCAATTAATCTTTCCTATGCCTATAATAACAAAGTTGCATCATAAGTATTATTTTTGGTAGGACTATACTAATAATTTATGCTTTAGCATTTAAAAAGAGCTTTCCAAACATAATTCCTGAGAGGTAAGTAGTGCAAATATTATCCCCTTTTAACAGATGAGGAAATTGAGTCTTAAATAAAGTGACATTGGTGGCGGAGGCGGAACTCAAATATGAGTTTCTGTTTTCAAATCCTGTGTTTTCACCACTACTCAAAGTCATATAAGAGGGATGTTGTTCTATAAAAGTCAGTGTTTTGCTTTGTAAAATGAATGAAACACTTTCTATTGCTCAGAGCAGAAAGTCAGCATATTTCTCCTTTGAACATGAGGGAGAGAGGATTTCAATAAACTCATGATTATAAACATTTTTAATAAAAACTTCAAGCCATGCTTATCTCTTGTGTAATACATAGGTTTAAAAAAAAACCAGTAGTAAATAGTGATGAGTTGCCTTTACTGGCCCCTTTGTTTTTTTGTCTTTACTTCTCAGTCTGTATCTCACTTTTCCTCCCTCTATTCCTTTTCCTTTTTCTTCATCTCCTGCCTTTGTGGCAATTATAGAGAACTGAAGTCCATTTGAAAATTATTACTTGTTTCCTTTATTAAGAGCTTTATGTTCTTTGTTGTCAATTTTAAAAGCAGCTAAGTAGATATTCTCTATTTTGTTTAAAAAAATTCTACTAAACAATTTTTGGCTTCATAGTCCTCATTTCATTTTTCTGTGGGTCATCCACTCTCTACAAAAAGATTCCTCAGACCTAACACCTTCTAAAATGACAGTACTGTACAATTTGAATTCATGTTCAGAATAATGAACCTCAGACACTCTAAGATTTTTAATTATTAAAGAGTCACACATTCAGCATATGGAATTTGCCAAATCAGGAGACTATTACACTTGAGAAACTTTTAAAAATAAAGGATTTAAACATCTTCCAGAAATCCTCATTTAGTTTGAAATTTCAAAACTAGAATCTAACCATTGACTGGTTTATTGAAGTATTGTGGTATATTTATGAATAAGATCTAAATAAACACTATCACTTTCTAAAGCTATTATCTGTAAAGAAATTGGTAACAAATGAAATTTAATCCCTCCATTAATCTCTAATCTGTCTGTCATGTGTACATGCTAAAGGGTGCTAGGTTACAGGGCAAAAGAAAATATATGACTAATGGGAAATGTATCAGAATTCTGAAATGCAAAGAAAATGATGTGATGAGCATTACATTGAAATTCATTGTTTACTGACACTCCATTATACATTGTAGGCAGGAAGGTGATGGGAGCAAATATAATCTGGGTTTTATACGTATCTTGTAATATTGCATTAGATTTCTGTGCCATTTTACTAATATTTATTCTAGACTTGCTTTACAGAATACATGAAAAGATCACTAACAGCATTTATATTCAATGGAATTTCTGATTTTCAGAAAGTAACTGTGTATACCTACATACATTTTTTTGCTCCAAATTAAATTCAATTATTTCAATGAACAAAAATCTATTTTCTCTTTTTCCTATCTTCCCTTTCTTTTAAAACCAGTTCTGGAAGAACAGAAACACATATCAGCTAAGATTATGGTTTTCTGGAACACGATTAGGGGTCGGGTTCAGAAGAGTATCATTGAATAATTTAGGTAGCAAGAAAATTCCAACCATGGAAACCACTGGATTGTTCTCTTGCTCACATTTATTATACACTGGGATCAAGCAATAGATGAGAGGCATACAATGACCCAGCAAACAGGGAAATGGATGAAGGATCTTGAGATTTAAGGTCTCTACCACTGAACTGCTTTATAACTTTTTAACAAGTCGCTGACCTTATGCTCACACAGTTGCAAACCAGATAAAAGAACTGAAATTCAGAATGGCAGAACCATGTCTGAGGCACAAGAAGAAAGAAAAGAAGATTTTATGATGTGAATGGAAAATGGAACTTAGGTGAAAAGCTGTCGGAGGCATGAATTTAAAACAACCATCCAACGACAGACCCATTTCACAGGGACATAATAAGTCTGCGGCAGAGGTTATCTCAGAAGCCATTACCTTGAAAGATGGATAGGATGAAGAAATATACAAACACACATCTGTCACCTTGTAATACACCATTCTTAATAAAGAAGCTAATCGTGAAACTTTGAGCCTTTTCTTCCTTAAACCTAATACTGCTCTAATATTTTCTTCACAAATAAATGTTATAATTTACTAATTGCATACACACTTTGCTGAAAGTAAAATATGTCCAGACAAAATCATAATATATTCATACTTAACCATTTCATTTTAAAATGAATTTAAATTGTTTAAGACATCTTCCATATTCATGGTGGCTCCATTTTGAATAACCCTTCAGAGAGACAAATCTGTGAATAGGCTGGATTATATTCTATAAGCCCCTTCTTATAAGTTATTGAAGTAATAAGGCCAACAAAATTCCTAGAAAGGATTAGGTAGTGTTACTGGTGGATCTGGCATTAGGAAGACTTGAGTTTGAATCTTGCCTCACACACTTACTAACTGTAAGATGCTGGGCAAATCCCTTAACCTCTCTCTACCTCAATTTCCCTATCTGCTAAATGAGGGGTTTGATTCAATGGCTTCTAGGATTCCTTCCATATCTAAATCTATGAACCCATGAGCTGGAAGAATCTCTGGGATGGTTGCTTACTTTTATAGTGAGAATATCTTTGAACCCCAAATTGTGGTACATGGCCTAATTAAGGATTTGGGGATAAATTTATGTAAATTTATCCATATAACAGTAAAAGTATAAACTTTTAATCAGAGTTATGCATGTAATGAATCGTCTTTATCGAAAAGAATAAAATGAAAGCTACAAAATACATATTAGTTGATATTTATGTTATCATTTTCATCATTCATCTACATTTGAAGTTGATGACATATTGTTTTACTCATACTTCTTGGAAGAACTCAGCTTGTTTAATAATTGTATATTCTTTATTTTTTCAAATACTCCTTGACAAGGCCCTAAGAAAATCATTTGAGTTGCCAAGAGAGATTTCATAGTCTTGATAAGTATCTCAGTAACATGATTGTATATGTGCCTTTATGACTTATCACCACCAAAGTCCTTGACACTGTCAAATGGTTCAACCACAGAAACAGATAGGGTTTTATTAATGGAAATGACATTGAAGAAGATGTATTACCATTTGTTTGTCACTGTACCTTAAGGACAGTGGTCCTTTCTATCTGACTTTGGCTAAAAACTCCTGTATGTGTTTTCTCTTCCATTAGAATGTAAACTCTTGAGAAAATTGACTATTTTGCTTTTCTGTTTGTATCTCCAGCACTTACCACATTGTAAACTCTTAATAAATGCTTTTTCATTCATTCATTCATCTATCAGTAATTAGTCCTTCTGCTCATTGTTTTCTATTCACTAAGATATAGTAACTTGATATTCTGTGATGTTGCTTGATGCTTACTATGTCCTGCACTTTCTGATTCTCTTATAAAATAATAACAGTAATAACTAGCTAGTACTCATGTGGCGCCTTAAGACTTGCAAAACATTTTAAAAATATTATCTCATCTTATCCTCACAACCACTATGGGAGGTAGACACTACTATAATCACCACTTTACAAATAAGGAAACTGAGGTAGAGGTTAAGTGACTTGGCTAAGGTCACATAGCTAGTATCTGAGTAGGATCTGAATTCAGGTTTTCCTGAATCCAGATTCAGAGCTCCATCCACAGTGCCCCCTAGTTTCCTCTATCCTTTGTTTTAGAAGAAAGTATTTATGATATATTGTATAGGAGTGAGTTACTTAGATTGTCTAACATACCTTCTATTCTCAAACCTTTGCCACTCTTTCCAACACACCTTTTGCCCTATTCTCCTATGCCTGTCTTTGTACCGAAATCACTTAGTACTGAAGTATGTGATGACTTTGGAGAGTTCTGTGACAGAATTCTTCAACCTCTGGAATGGTTACTGGTATAGAACCCACAACTATCCTCAGAGTAATCTTTTTGCTTATGCTCATCATATACACTACAAGATGAGGTGACCAAGCATTCCATGTTTCTTGTTGCCTTTAGGCACATGAGGAAACCAACTCCACCAATTTCTTTGTTG